TGATCCAAACTATGATGCCTTAATAGCAATACTATATCCAGATATTGACAAATATGAGGAAGAGGTAGTCTTGTACATGGGTAACACAGAACATTGATTTCCCTTTTGAACTAGTATGTGAACAAATTTGTTCTTTCTGTTCAGGAATTGGCTTTTCATGAAGAGGAGGTGGCTCGTAATAAGCAGGTGAGTTTGATTTCTCAAACTCTTCAAAACTTCAGCACTAATAAACTAGGTTATGTTTTGAGTTCTAAGAACTTCAAAGTGCTATAGACAGTTGGTGCAAAACATAGATGTTATGTTTTTCACTTGCATTAGAAAATTGTACTTTTGAATGTGAAATGGGAACATTCATGATGCATCAGCATCTTAAGTCCAACTATGTTAGCATCTGCGGGATAAAACTAATAGTGAGTAGGTAGTGTAATTACTGCAATAACATTATGACAAAGTTTTACACCGGATGATCTTCCAATCACACCCTTTTTACAAATGAATAATGAGATGAAATTCTAAAGCCGCCACTGGCCACCACCACCACCATCATCATAGGTTTTTACCAATTGCATATAAAATATTATGAGATGGTGATCAGTTGAGATTGTTTCTGTATAACGTCCGTGGTATTGAAGCTTCGGGTATTTGCATGACGACCATGAGCATTGCCGTCTTTGAAAATAGCCAAGTTAACAATCTGAATATCTTACATACAGATATAGTTCACGCTTTATTCTATATTTTCCATACTTCAGCTCTGCTGATCTGTCAACAGATTCAAGCTTCAATTGCCCAGACGCTTCGACGTCAAACAGAAGCACTGGGAAGAAAGAGAACACCAAGATCAAACCAAACGACATATACGAGGAGATCTGGGAGTAGAAATTTAAGGAGACGGAGAAACCCTCGAGTTGAGCCTCAAAAATCTGATGACGATGAGGACGGAAATGGTCATGATGACAAAGATTCGTCTTCTGCTGATGAGCATGATACAGAAGCCAGACCAAAAAGGGCTAAAAGATTCAGAGGGCGGTTTTCCCTAGGCTCAACAGCTGGCAATGGCAGTTCAGGCTGTGAAGAAAATGATTCAGAAATAAACAGAGAGTCTTTTGGTCCAATGGGGCTTATTGGCAGCTCAGAAATACTCGCTTGGGGGAAGGGTGGCATGCGAAGTCAGAAGACTCAAAATAGGTATAGCAGCCTGGGCAGTGGTGTTAGTAATTCTCGGGTTCGTAGGAATAGCAGAGTCTCGAAGCTGATTGAGTCTCTGCAACATTCAAATGAAAATGATGTAAAGGTAAAATCGATGATGTAAATGAGTTTATGGGATTTATATGTTTGCCTGCTTAATATCAGTGCCACCAATACATTTTATCACTTTCAACTGTTTTTGCTTTTTATCCTTTGTTTTGGCAGGTGGATATCAGCCTCATGCTCGTGTCCTTGTGTGAGGAAGATATTCCAAGTTTGCAGCGACCATACCTCTGCTGCAGACCCACTTTGACCGTTAAACATTTGATTCAAGTATAGCTTGCCACCACTTAATCCTCTTTCTTTGTTTTAAAAAGAACCAACAGTTCTTGTGATTTTATTTGCTTTTCCTTGCAATACAAGATTCTGAATGCAAATGCATACAGTATGTCTCTCTGCAGACTTCAATTCAAGCTGATGAAATTGACATCTTGGTGATGAAAGAGCTTCGTTCCCTTGAGAAACCTTCAAGCTCTGAGGCCACGCCCATAAAAAAGTCAGTTGCAGGTTTTCCTAGCAACGGTGAGTTCCACTTGTTACAACAAAACCAGACGCTGGAAGAAATCCAACCCAGCTGTGGTTTTAGTCAATGTAATCTGGTAAGCACTCAGTTTCAAAATGTAGTTCATTTACGAAGACATGCAATTAGAGTTAGGAGAAGAAATGCTCTTATGTCCTTAAGATTTGCCTCCAAGTGCGTATTGACTTTAAGTGCTAAAAGAATTTTAAAGATTAGAAAAAGATATCTAATTGCATACGGAGCAATAATCATTATGTGTGTGTGTGTGCACACACACACAAAAGATCACAAAACATGATTGATGTGATATTTAATGCATAAAAAACCGGTTGAGAACAACAATTGCCAATCATCTACAATATTTTAAGATATTATAACGGGTTGTGGGCCAAATGGCACATCACAACTGGCTCATAATATATGTTCTATCATTCCATTTAGTTACACGCAAGGACTCTGGTTAATAATGAAGGACAAAAAATAGAGAGACTTTAGATGCTCACAGAACTTGTTTTTAATGTTTATACGTTCCCCTTTTTGAAAAGGGTCAATCTGCACCTAAGGTCAAATGTTTTAGCCATATACGGAGTGATAGCTGCAGTTCCATTTCACGCAAATCAAAATTCATTGTGCCAAATACCCATTTTATATTCTTTTGTCTCATACTTTTGCTGTTTAAAAATTCAGCTTTTGGCTTATCGACTAAAGTCGAAGGGTTAGGGATGGCAATGACAATGTTGGTGGCGGTGGTAAAATTTTTAAGTTGCAGTGCACAGATGATACTCGTCGACAAATTCAAGTTTAGTAAAATACAGAGGTCTAATTGTTTAATTTACGCAGTAGCTTTTAGCGGGATGACCAGGTAATCCTTTTAATTTGTACTGTATTTATGCACCTTGTAGGTGTTGTGATCTAATAGGGAAAGTCCAAATTGAGATAACACTAACATAAATGACAAGCTGATCATTTAGTATGTTATGTTATAAGCCTTTTTTTGAAACAGTGATACTAAGTGAAGTGTTTTATTCATATATACATGTACCAATTTTTGCATGTGTTATGATCTTCACATTACTTTCTGAATTGCTTGTGGGAATATCTATAAGTAGAACTGTTGCATATTATAATCCCACAAAAATCCCCTGTGAAATCCCTACAGACATGGGTGAGAGTGGATTTATGCAATTATGCAAACTTTACCTATACAAAGTAGAAAGTTTTAGTGCACATAGCATAAAATATAAAGAAAAAAAACATAGTATAAACTAGGTAAGATAGTTTTATAATGATTGTCTTCATGATTTGTTAATTGTAATCTTAGTCTAGTTTTAAAAATGTTATTCTAAGTCTCGTGGGCACAAGGAGTTATCACGTAAGATAAAACTCTCAAATTACTGTTGTCGGGTTTCGATCATGAGATCCCAGACTTAACATTCTCCCTCAAGACCATGTAAGCTACTCATGTGAGCCCAAGTTTACCTTAAATTCTTAAGGTGCATGTTTTAGGGACTAATAACAATATAAAAAACTAATATGCCAGATATTTAAGACAAAAAGATCACAAAATTTACAAACTTTCCATTTGTGAATATAAATTGATAATTTTTATTTATTTAAAATCATTGTAATCTTTTAGTAAGGCTCACAAATACGGAGAAACAAGTTTTTGAATTTTGTGATTTTTTAAAATTTGTGATTGTGACTAACATTTTCACGAGTCCAAGTATAATATTTTCTTTGTCTCACTATTTTTTACTCCTTCCATCCCATAAAATTTTTCTACTTTGGAAAAATATGAGATTTAAAGAATGTGTAATATTGGTTACTTTTGAACTTTGTCTTTAATTTATTGCAGGGTAAAGTATGATGTGATGTCTAGATTAATAATTTTGGTCACAATTTATTTTATGTTTATCGGAGAAATACCATTTTCTCTAACAATATGTTTAGTTAAAGGAAATCGATAAGAAAGGAAAATAGTTTTTTTTTGTTTGATTTGAGAAGAAAAAAAAGTAGAAGGAAAAGAAAATGGAAGAAGAAATGCACTAAAAAGTAAAATAATTCCTTTCTATTTTGGTGAAGAAAGGTAGAGAACAATACTTTATTTTCTTTTTCTTTTGAATTCTACGAACCAAACATAGCGTAAAAGGTAATGAAGTGGAGAAGATAAATATGCTCTTTCGAAGAAAAGATGGTACCTCCTCCATGGTAAATAAATGAAAAATTAATTTATGAAGAATCCTATTTTAATATATAGTGTTGTTTCGAAGAAAAGATGGTACCTCCTCCAAACTTTTCAAAGATGAAAACAGACGCACCCTAAAAATAGGAAAGTTTGACATTTTAATTTTTTTTAAATATGACTCATCCATCTTACACGTCATATTCTATAATGGCAAACTTAAAAAATAATATCAAAAAAATATATTTTTAAGGCATGCCTTTTTACATCTTTGAAAAAAATACAATAGGACGCAGAAAGTAAAATGGCGAGAATTTTTTTGATTATTCATTCTAACTAGTTCTTAAAACTTGAAAAATTATAGCTCTAGTTTCACAATTTTTAAATGTTGTTTAATTAAAAAAATTCAAATAAATAATAGGGAAAACATTTGAACTAATTTAATATATATTTTTTTATACCACTGAACGTATAAAGTTTTTTCAAGTGTAACTATAAATAATTTTCTAATAATTATTGCAATTTTTTTCGTGCCAATTTACTTTTTGATATTTTTCCCCGTAATGCAACATTTGAACGAATATGAATCAAATTGAATTTGTACTACGGGGATAAATATTTTAAAATTTAAATGAATCGAATATTTTTAAATGAACCGAATATATTTAAACAATCGAATTTTTAAACGAACCAAATATGTTTAACATATTGAATGAAACAAATACGAATCGTAAAAAATATTCGAACTGAATTCGAATTCGAATATGACTTTATCTTAACGAATACGAATATTATTAATTAATATTCGATTCGGTTCGTTAACAATCCTACTGGGTAAGAGACAAAGGCTAATGCTACCCTTAACTAGGGGCAAATAAGTCATTTCACTCTACTTAGTTGCATTGGATTTCTAAATGGATAACTTTCTTTTTTTGAGGGACTAAATGGATATATAACTTATTTGTGAACAAATGATTATTTGTTAATAAGACAATTCAAAAAAAATATGAAGGGAGTAGTATCATATCATACTCATATAAGATTATTGCACACTTGAGGGTAGATTAATTAATAAAGCACAAGTACAAAAATAGGAAATAAATATACAAACACGCAATCTAAAGATAAGCAAATGACAACATTAGTAATCATACATAATTAAAGATAAGCAAATGACAACATTAGTAATTATACATAATAATTAAACACACAATATTCTAAACATAAGCAAATGACAACATAAGTAATTAAACACACAATCGGATTAATTTCTTCAGCGGTGCTTGGATCTCGTTTCTCCACTATACATCCTGCAATATTAGTTCAAGAAATTAATACAGTACCTTAATTCTTTCTTCTATTATATATGAACAAATACCGAAGGACGGGGAAAATAATTTTTATTTTTTATTGATGTACCAATTTGTAAATAAAAAAAATTCACCCTAAATAGAACTAAAACATATGAAAAAGTACCAAAATACGAGTTTCATATTTTCATTCTTGAAATAAGACTTCAGGTAGTGTGACACTGACATGTGCACATTACTATATTTTTTTTTCTATTTCAGGAATAAAAACATGAAAATTTTTTGGTATATTTTCAATTTTTTACTCTCACTTTAGTCTTTTTCTCTATTTTTTCTCTAAATAAAATGATTTAAATAATTGTGAGATCTTACCTTGTAATTTTTAATTTGTAGTCAAAATAGGGACGGAGGAGTAATTATTAATTACCAGTCATAAACAGTGGGGGAGTTGGGGTGAGCAGGCTTGTCAAACACTTCGGCGCCGATTCTGCGAGTGGCCAGGTTACTGCCGGGGTGGAACACGCTCCTCCACACGTTCTCCTTACGCGCCGCCGTCGGAGATGGAGTTGTGGGGCTCACCGGCACCGCCGCAGCCGGCGACGCCAGGTTCTTGCTGCTCGACGACCCTTCATCCACACCACTATTTGTCTGGATTGAAAGGTTCTTCCGCAGCTTCTCAAGGCGGCCGCCGCCGCCGGTCTCCTCCGGGTGTGGTCCGGCCATAACCTCGTCCCAAAATTTCTCAATCATTTTTGTTTTACTTTAATTAATTAATATAATAATTATTATTATCAGTCTATTATTATTAATATTACTAGTACTATAAAATTAACCGCAATTTACTCTAATCTTTGGGTTTTTTTTTGATTCTTTTCTTGCTCTATTTAGCTCCCAGTGTGATCAAATAGAGGCAAGGGAGAGGTATAAATAGCAATAGATGGGCAAAATATCTCACTCAAAACATTAATATAACAATTTTATGGGGTCAAAATTCGTTACCTTTGACTTCAAAGTAAATCAAAGTTTTATTTTATCTAATTAATTTATAATATATATTTTATTTAATTATAGGTCAAAGGTTAAAAATGATTAACTGAAAAAAGTCAAAACAAAATAAATACTCTGGGTGAAGGTAATATTATCTTCCTCCTTTTGTATTCGTTCAATCAGAGTTTTTGTTTATCGGGAAAAAATTGAGCAACACTCAACACATTTTGATATCAATTAAATAAAACAATGTTGCGTATTTATATAAAAATAATTTACATATTCCGTATTAGATTTATCTTGTACTTGTAAAAAATTTCAAAAATATACTCGTATTTCATTAATGATTTAAATGTGTCATGTTAAATTTGAAAAAGTCAGACTAAACGAATATCTTAAGATAGAGGAGATAAACATTAATAAATATTAAAATAAAAACTATTTAAAACCCCCTAAAATTTATATTCAAAAGCAAAGTGGAGTATTTTACTCCACTGAATGTACATAAAACAATTGTTTTAGTTGAATTTTGTGCTCAAATTGCACAACATTTTAACCGGTTTTTTTTCATTGGGGGCACTAGAACTTTTAGCGTTGTAAGAAAATATCCAAACTCTAAACTGTAACAAAAAAGTGTACTTCAATTATAAATCGGCCCGGTTTTAGGGACACCGGAAAACGGTGCCACTAGCGTTGTCACTGTGTTTCTGGCGTATCTTCGGTGCTCTATTCGTAAAATTGACAGTTCATACCCCCCTAACCCACCCCCTAAATCCCCCACCCTAGCCTCACCTCTATACGCCACCCCAACCTCGCCGTAAGCCCCCCACAAAATATACGTAAACCGATTTGCATGTCCAACACTCCAACAGGTCACAAGGACCAATACTGCAATTTCTCATCTTTATTTTATTATATTTTTGACCATATTGATTTCTTAGACGTTCAATTAAATCAAATACAACTAAACTTTCATCCCCCTATTTTTTATTTCCTCTAAATCTTTTAATGTTATTTTTAAATAATTTTATAAACTAAACAATAAACGTAGTTGGTTCGAACATAAAAAATAACCTTTTCAATGTATCGAATTTGATGTATATAGACCAAGACCAAATAAAAAATACGGAGTAAATCTTAACATAGATAGATATAAATATAAATTTCATAAGTCATTAGGGATAACTTTCAACTCTTTTCTCCATTTAATATAAAGTAATATAAGGATAAAGCTAAAATAAAAAAAACAATTTAAATTCACTTTAGAAGATTTAATAGAAAAAGAAGAAAAATGGGATAAAGGTGTAATAGTATTTAGCTTAATTGAAGAGAACTTCAGTGTCCTTGTAATTTGGAAAACTGCCATCAATATCTCATCAGTCATTTTTCGACAATGAGAGTCTATTGTTTCCTATTTTCTAAACGATAGGGGTACTCGTGCTTATTTCTTACTTTTTGTTTAATATCAGTTTTTTTTACTTTTTTGAATTTTTTTATCTCTTTGTTTTCTTTTCCTAGACTTTTTTAAAAATATATTCAATTTTCCATAATGTTTTAAAAAAATTCAAAATTCCGTGTTTGAAATGAAAAAATAAACATATACTCTATCTATCTCAAACTAAAAAAATTCACTTTTTATTTTCTAGAATAATTTTTTAGTAAGTTCAAAAGGAAAATCCATAATAATAAAAATATGAAAAAACGAAATAAAAAAATTGAAACATGCAAAAAATAGTTTTATACAAAAAAATATTTTCACCTAAAAAGGTCTTTAGAATTGGGATATCCAAAAAGGATATTCATTTTATTTTATTTATTATTTTATTTGGAGGAAAAACTATTCAAATTGTAAATTTGAGACGTACAAATGCACAATATGTTAAAAATATTATAAAAATAATTTTAAAAAAAATTAAAATACTTTGATTAATAAAAGAAAAAAGTAAAGTAAAAAAGGGGAGAAATAAAAAATAATAAACGAGCACAGGTGCCCTTTATGATTTAAAAATAGGCACCAACAACCCTTTTCACAAGAAATTAACATGAGGAGTATTGACCTGTGGGGCCCCTGACTTCATAATATCATTAATACAATTTTACTCCTTTTTGTTTCAAAAAAAACAAATGTGTTCAAAAGGAGCGGTGGGTTCAATTTTGACAATTCGATTTTTATCTAACACCAAAGACAAAATGGAAGGTAAATTGGCGGTTCTGCCGGTTCAAGTTGGTTTTATACGAAAAGTATGTAAACCGTTGATTGTTCGATTCGATTATATGCGGTTTTATTTTGGTTTTTTTTAATAAAAACTTATAAGCATTGAAAAAGTTGTAACAACACTAATTCGACAAAGCAATTAAAATATGTAAGCTTGGGTTTAGTTTATTCAGTTCAATTTTTACCCAAAATGAAAAATCGAACAACAGGTTAGAATTCGATTCTATTGAGTTTTACATAAAAAAATATGTGTCAATAGCCCAAAAGCATCTAAGAGATTTCTAATACTACCAAAGCCTTCGTATGTAAATACGGAGTATCAATTACGGAGAAATTATATTTATGGTATCATACTTTCATTCTATTATAGCTTCAAAATATTTCATTTAAATATGTAAATTATTTGTATCAATTTTTAATGTTAATATAATTCTGTATTAGGATTAATTATCGGTATTTAGATTTCTAGATTTTTTTAAAGTTTATAATGTGGTTTAAAATGTTTAATAGTTAAGAGATAAAGAACTTTAATCGACTAATCAGTTTTTTACATTTATACTTCTATGATTTTTTTCGCATATCACATATACTCATATAAAAAAAGCAAAATACCTAAGAAGTTTTTTGTTACTTATTGGTGACTTGTAAACGGTATTAATCTTTTTGTTACAAGATTTATAGGTGAAGTATTTTTTGTTACAAATTAAAGTTTTAAAATTTTTTATTACAACATTAAAAGTTGAGGTATTCTACATAAAAAAAATTCGCAAAATCTTAGTGCATTCTTTCAGAGTACAAAATGACATACTCCCTCCGCCCCAAAAAGTTTGTTACGTTTAGAAAAAACTGCGTCACGTAAAGTCTGTTACATTTTTATTAAAAAACCATTTTTACATCTTACTTTTTCATACCCTATCTATCACATCATACTTTTTTTAATAATCTACCCATCACATCCTACTTTTACCCATCACATCAAGAATATTTTTGGAAAGTCAATATCAAAATATCCCTCCCTTTATTTCTCAAAAATTCAAACCGTTCCATTCTTTTTGGGACGGATGAAGTATGATTTTTGATGTACAAATGACTTAATTGTTCTCAAAATGATGAAAATGGAGGTGCAAATGTGCAATCATCGAGAAAAAAAGGACAATGCTACACTTACACCAAAAAATATACCCCATTTGTACACCAGAGGCTTGCACAAACATTTCGATGGTTTACACCGACACAAGTGTTGGTGCGTTAATAAATATTAACACGGACACAAATGTTGGTGCGTTAATAAATATTAACACGGACACAAATGTTGGGTACAAACCTTGGGGTACAGATAGCATAATCCAAAAAAGAAAGGGAATGAGATATTCAGTAACACGTGCCCATTCTAGAAATGGATAAGGATGAAGAAGCAGTGAAATAAACAAACAAAAGATAATGTCTGCTGTACTGTACAACTATCAAATCATCAAGCCAAACGTCACTACCAGATTACATAAAAACTCCACCCTTGCTACCAATCATATCTCCTACATAAACATGTGGTAAGGATGCAAGAAAATTGAAATTAGAGAGTGGTAGAGAATGAGTAGAGATAAATATTTGATGAAGAAATGTGTGGAGGCAATGTTGGTAGCAAGAGTGGGAGGTGTGTATCACAGAGTCCTTTGAACAATTCTCCCCAAAATATATATCAAAGCTATGCTACACATAGTGCCTTTACAGATATCAGTGTAGTCTTCACTTCATGTCGTCCATCTGCGATTAAAATCTAATTCACTTATTCTCAATGACCATCTCGCCGGATTTGAGGGGCCTTCGTGGATGGTACTCATCTTTTTTTTTGACATATCAATGATTGACATTGATGAAATATGCTAGTGTGATTAAAAAAATTTGTAAACTTAGCATTGCTCATTGACATTAGGCTGCTAGAAGAAAAAAATACTGAATTTGAAGCTTGGTCGTTGCCATATCTCGCAACAATGCAAGACATCGCCTCAAACACGAAACTCTACCCTTACACCATCTGACTGAAATTATAACTTTATTTGTTCCCTCTCAGCTAACTTGCCGATACTGAAGAACCCTCAGGATGTGGTTCATTCTTTTTTTTGAAACCATAATGATTTTAGATCTGTCTCAAAATTTCATTTCTTAAAAATACTGAATAAAAATAAAAAGTACTTCCTCCACCCCAAATTATAATGTCTGTTCACTATTCACATGGTTAAATTTCACACTTTCTTTCTCTATTTTTGTTAGCATATTGATAAAATAAAGTATTATTATCACTACTAGTTTTGTAAACCTTTTGATGTAGTATTTTAAAATGTAATTTTTATTTTTTATTTTTACCTATTGTCATATAAAATGATTTGAAAATAATTTAAGTAAAATATCATAAACCAAAACAGGCACTATAGATTAGAACGGAGGGAGTACAAATTACACCATTAAAAATTATTTCAAAATTTCTACAAAAACAAATGCAACAAAATATTTAATTTTACCAAATAATTAATAAACATATGCATATTAACATAAGTTATTGAAAGCCTATAATAATAATGGAAAAGATTAATTTGGAAAAGGAAGCATCATCACACCATTTTTGCACGAAAGATAATTATTAGTGAAGAATGTTTATATATTAATACTAGTGACAAGTAGTACCAATATTACTATTATTATGTTATTATTAT